GTGCATGCCTGTGGTTGCAGCTACTTGGAAGGCTGAGCCGGAAGGATTGCCTGAACCCAGCAGATTGAGGCTGTGGTGGCCGTGAGCGTGCCATTGCACTCCAGCCTGGGCGACAGAAGGAGACTGACTCAAAAATTAAAAAATAATAAAAGGGCTCCAGGGGGCAAACTCACTCTCGCTGCCCCTTCCCCCTTGTGAGGACACAGCAATGAGGTGCAAAAACAGAGCAGCCCTCACCAGACGCCAGCCCCTCTGAGGCCTTGACCTTGGCCTTCCTGGTCTCTGGAACTGTGAGAATATACTTCTGTTGTGTGCATGTTAGCCAGTCTTCAGTGTTTTGTTCCAGCAGTACAAATAAGGCAGGCTGCAGTGACTGGAACCACGCCCTGCCCTACTCCAATGCCAAGGTTAGTCCTGGGGCGTCCACTGGAGCATCGAGGCTGACAGAGGTCATCGCACCACAGCGGCGCATGGGGGGACAGGCCCGTTTGCAGACGCCCTTCTGCCCGCATTGCAAAAAGAGTGTAATCTTCTGCACAAGGGGAGTCTGCTGAGTGGTGTCCGTCAGGCCTTGGAGGTGGGATCCGTGCGGGATGCTTGTGGTCAGGAAGACCAAGAGGTGCTGATGGTCGTGCTGGGGTGAAGCAGTGGCCTCCAAGCTGGCCTCCACTTCCCGGGTCCCTCCCGGAGAGGAGTTTGGGGGCACCTAAGCTCCGCCCGCCCCTGGGTTCGTATCAGGGAGTCTGGAGGAGTGAGCCATGCCCGGCTCCCCGCTGAGGGCACTCCCTGGCACAGCACAGCCAAGCCTCGCCACCACACACTGAAGATTGCAGTGAAGCCCGCTTTTCAGCCGAAGCAGCTGCGGCTTGGCGAGGTGGTGCAGCATGGAGTGGCAGAGCGGGGATGGGACTGGGGCACCCCTCCCCCTGGCAGTTCCTGGAGCACCTCGGCCTCCCTTGGCCGTGCCACCCCAGGGTCTGCGTGCAGCTCACTCTTGGACATGCCTTGTGGGTCTTGGGAATAACGCTCGGTGACCCTATTTCTGCCTCCCCTCGCCCTGACCCCTGCTCTTTACTCAGCTCCCCCTTCTTGCTTTTAAGACTTTTATGAACTTCGGCTTCTTAAACTCACGTCCCGCATCAGGCCTCCCGGGGGCCTTCACAGTCTACCTGCCTGCTGCTGCTTTTTTTTTTTCTGGAGTCGGAGTCTCACTCTGTCGCCGAGGCTGGATGGAGTGCTGCGGCACGCTCCCGGCCACGGCAGCCTCGACCTGCTGGGCTCAGGCGATCCTTCCGCCTCAGCCTTCCAAGTGGCTGGAAGCACAGGCGCGTGCCACCACACCTGGCAAATTTTTTTGATTTATCGTAGAGACGAGGTCTTGCCATGTTGCCTGGGCTGGTCCTCTTGCCTCTGCCTCCCAAAGTGCTGGCATTATAGGCATGAGCCACTGGAGTTTCTTAAGAGGGTCTGATCCCTCACCCGCACCGAGAGCACCTTAAGCATAGCAGGATGTATCAGCACAGCTCTTTGTTTTTATTTTTTGAGTCAGGGTCTCACTCTGTTGCCCAGACTAGAGTGCAGTGGCACCATCCTAGCTCCCTGCAGCCTCGACCTCCTGGGTTCAAGTGATCCTCCTGCCTCAGTCTCCCAAGTAGCTGGGACTATAGGCGTGCACCACCCCACCTGGCTAATTTTTCTGTTTTTTGGAGAGATGAGGTCTTGCTTTGTTGCCCAGGTTGGTCTTGGACACCTGGGCTCAAATTCTCCCGCCTCAGCCTTCCAAGGTGTTGGGATTACAGTTGTGAGCCCCACACCTGGCCTGAGACAGCTTTTCATCGGAGTTCTCATGGTGCCTCTTCCCAGCCAGCCAGACACTCAGGCGTGCTGGAGAGATGGACCAGTGATGCCGGCAATTGCTTTGGCGAGTCTGTGCTCGAGCAGAAGGCAGCGGCCACCTGGACGCTTCCGTCAAACTCAACAGATCTCAAATGGGGAGTGGGGGGCCCCGGCCTTCACACAGGCCATGTCACCTGGCGCTGCCAGGTGCCTCTGCAGTGCAGCCGTGGGGTCACAGGGGCCTAGGGCGGCCAGTGGGATCGCTGTGTCTGCACAGGGCGGCCACCACTTGCCTAGGTGAGTCCGACTCGCAGGTTCCGTCCAGTACTGCCAGGTCCTTAGGGCATCCTGAGAAAGCGGCCGAGTCTGTCTGCGTATCTGAAGCACTCGAGAACGCTTGCCCACCTTATTGTGTTCTTATTGTGAACACCGAGTGTGCTCATATGTGCAGACAGCTTTGCCAAGACAGCAGATTGTTGCCATGATGCAACCCGACACTCACTGAGCACTGGTGGAGGTCCGGGCTTGCTCTCAGCCCCATGTGTGTGCACGTGCGTGTATCCATGTGTTTGTGTGTATGTGTACGTGCGTGTGCATGTATGCATATGTGGAAAGTGCTCTTAACTATCCCCATTCTACAGACAAGGAAGCTGAGGCCCCAGGGTTATATCCCGTGCCCAAGTCACACGGGACAGGTGGGAGAGGAGGCTTCAGAGGTCATGGCTGGTGGTCTCGCTGTTGCCACCAGCGTAGCTCGTGCCGTGTCTTTAAACCTGGGGCAGTTCCCGCTGAGGGATCCTAGTTGGGTGGGTGTTTCTTGGCACCGAGACTTTCGTCCCCACATCTCTGCTCTGGGTTTGCAGCCCTTGGCCAAGCCCCTCCTCCTGGGGCCTTTTCCCCTGCTGGGCTGTCTCCAGCTGCTTCCTGATCCATGCCCTGTCCTTGCCCTGCCAAGGGCACTTTCTTCTGCAGAATGTCCGCGTTGGCTTCCCCGGGATAAAGTGCCAGGTCCTTGGGCTGACCTTCCACTCCCATGAGCAGACCCGGTCTCAAAGTCTGGGTGTCAGATGCACCTTCCCGGCCCCGCTCACACCAGGCCAAGACACGTGAGGCCCCCGACAGTGGCGCCCCAGACTTTCCATGCCTATCCCTGGGATGTCCCAAAAAGCCAAGTCCCCCGGATCCCATCTCTGCGCTCTCGGCCTTTCCCCCGAGTGGCCAGCACTCCTCTGTAGCGTCCTCGGAGCCTTTTCCTTCCTACCCGCTGGGTGGTCATGTGTGCAGACGATGTGCTGGTTGCCTGTCCCCTTGAGCACAGGACATGGGACGGTGTGACACTGATTCTGCACAGAGGATAGGGGAGGCAGGGTCGGGGTCGCGGGCCCAGGTCTCCGCTGGCCCCCACGTGCGCCGGGGACCTTGCAAAGTCCTCGCCCCCAGCGCCACCATCTCCTCCATGGTAAAATTGGAGTGACAGCTGTCCCTGTGGATAGAGCAAGCCCCGGACAGGCCGAGCGAGCTGAGACACGCCTGTGACATTTGGAGAGACCCGGTGCTGTGCGTGCCTGCCGGTCGAGGGGACAGTGTTGAATTGATTCAAGCAGACTTTTACACCTTCCGCACGCTCGTTTGTGTGTTGGACTGGGAACCTGGGGCTCAGCTCCGCCGCCGAGCAGTACCCTTCCCCACTCTGTCTTTCTCCTCCTTCCTCGCCCACCTGCTTGGTCTCCTCCTTAGCTGCCACCAAGTCCCCTGCTGCCTGCCCAAAGGAGGCAGGAACTCTGCCTCCATTGCTTGGGCCGGAGGCTTCTTTCCTCCCACCAATGCCCAGCACCAAGGACTCTGCCCAGCACCAGGGATTCTGCACAACAGCAGGGACTCTGCCCAGTGCCAGGGACTCTGCCCAGCACCAGGGACTCTGCCCAGCACCAGAGACTCTGGCTAGCCCCAGCAAATCCAGCAAATATATCTGTCCAAGGAGAAGTAAGCCCCTTGCCTCTCGCACCAAACGTTGGATGAGCTGAGGCGGGAGGGGCTGGGCAGAGGGTTCCCAGAGCCCCAAACACACCCCCATTCCCCTAGCCTGTTGCGTGTTGCTGTGGACTCTGGAGTTGAGAGGGAAACATCAAACTCACTGTTCTTGGATTGAAAAATCCTTTCCAGAACATTCTCCATCTTACAGTGTCAAAAATAAAGACACTGCCACCACCAACTACTGCTACCGGTAATAACAGTGCTACTCCAAGACGTCCTCACAGCACCAAAAAGGGAAATGGTCTCGTTATCCCCGTCGATGGAGAAGAAAGGTAAGGCTCAGAGAGGGCAAGTGGTCATTCCACGGTCACACGGCTCCTGGGTAGCCAAGCCAAACATGGAATACGGAGTCGTCGGGGTTGGTATGACCCGTGGCACACGGGCGCATGCGTGAGCCACCCACGTTTCAGGCTGAGTTCCCTGGAGAAGCCGCCTGTGAGAGCGTTTGACACATAAGAGACGCACCACATGGGGGCCCCCAGCACCCCTAGAGCTGTGTATGGGAACAACGGCTGCAGTGGCAGGCACGGTTCACTGGGGTCCACGTGTGTGCACGCGTGTGACTTAACTGCACTTTCCTTCCGCGGATACTTGTTGGCCACCAGATCACCAGCGGGCAACGGGTCCTGCCTTTGGGCGAACAGGACGGACGTGAACACCTCATCGTGACGCCACAGCAGCCACACGATACTCAGCAGGACGATGGCGTCACCCTTCGTCTTCTGTAAGGAGCGAAGCTCACGGCCTGAGGATGCGCCCTCTCTCCGCCCGCCCGCCCGCCCAGCCCTGTGGCTTGTTTTAGGTCAAGCTGTCTGCTGATGGGGCACTTGCAGTGGACACGTGTCGCCTCTGAGCCCTCCTCGGCCGGCCCCTCCGGGCGCTGAGCTGCAGGTCAGGTAAAGCAGATGGGCTTGGGGCCAAGGAGCGTGTCTGCGGCCACACCGCCAGCCCTGGGGCAGGGCCTGAACTGGCACCCCGGCCCGAGGTCCCATCCCCTCTTTCTTCCTTGGCCATGAGAGGCACCACCACCATCTCTGAAGGCTCCTCGTTAGTCAAGAAGGAAAGAAAACAAACAGGGTCAGAGAGCTCTGCATTTTCCTTCTGTCTCCCCCGTCTCCTGAAAAGCTGACATGGAGATCATAGCTATCCACATGGGTGATGTGGAGATCGTGGCCATTCACACGTGTGACATGGAGACCCTGGCCATCCACATGTGTGACACGGAGATCGCAGCCATCCACATGTGCGATGTGAAAATCACTGCCATACATACGTGCGACGTGAGGTTCACAGCCATCCATGTGTGACGTGGAGATCACAGCCATCCACATGCGATGTGGATTTTGTAGCCATCCACGGATGTGACGAGATCACAGTCATCTACGTGTTACGAGATCACAGCCATCCACGGATGTGCCGTGGCGATCACAGTCATCCACGTCCGACGCAGAGATCACAACCACCCACGTGTGTCTTTATGATAATATTTCAGACACCGGCACTGTCTTTTTCAAATGCAAAGGAGGCATTCTCTACCTCTCATGAAGGAAAGTCCCATCCAGCTCCCTGTCCACTGCTGCTAACGTCCAGGCCCTCTCAGCCCCACCTCTCTGAGCGGCATCTCTCAGGTCCTTCAGGGAGGAGGCTCAATCCCTTCCAAACGTTTCAGCTGAAACGGGACCCGGGATTTTCAATGGAATGAGAATGGCTGTCTTTGCTCCTGGGCTGGCAGACGCATCCTTCTCAGCGTGTCCTGAGCCCAGAAGTACTCTCAGGATTAATCTCGTCTTGTTTCTGAGATGATTTTTATCTCCCAACAGACCAGTTACCTATGGAGCATAATAGGGGCTCGATTTTGCCCAAATGAGCTGGTGTTTACCGAGTGCCTGCTGTGTGCAAAACACTCCAGATCAAAGAAACAGCTCAGGCCGGGCTCGGTGGCTCAGCCTGTCATCCCAGGACTTTGGGTGGCCGAGGCGAGTAGATTGCCTGAGTCCATGGGTTTGAGATCAGCCCGGGCAACTTGGCAAGACCTCATCTTTACAATAAGTAAAAAACTAGCTGGGCGTGGTAGTGTGCGCCTGTAGTTCCAGCTACTTGGAAGGTTGAGGTGGAAGAATCGCCTGAGCCCAGCAGGTTGATGCTGGGGTGGCTGTGAGCGTGCCACTGCACTCCAGCCTGGGTAACAGAGTGAGACTCCAACTCTTAAAAAATAAAAAGAGACAGCACCGTGCCCCTGTGCCCTGAATCTCAGAAGGGGTGGCGTCAGTACCTTTACCACGTAAAAGGAAAAATCTTTCTGTCTGATGCATGCAAAGCATCTGGCAGGTGGAATCGGCCAGAATCCTCTTGTCTGTTTGAGAGTTGGATCAACAGAGGCCAGGGAAATTTTGAAGCAGCTGTGGGTTTGCAGTTGTGGGTGGGTCTTTGCTGCACGCCAACCCCACACCCCCACAACCAACATCCCCTATGGGAGCAGGCTGCCCTCAGGAACAGAGAGTGGGAAGGATTAAGGTTCCTTGCCAGAAATAACCTCTTTTTTTTTTGAGTCGGGGTCTCACTCTGTTGCCCAGGCTGGAGTGCAGTGGCACAATTATGGTTCACTGTAGCCTCAACCTCTTGAGTTTGAGGGATCCTTCTACTTCAGCTTCCTGGGTAGCTGGGACTACAGGTGTGCACCATCACACCTGGCTAATTTTTTTATTTTTATTTAATTTAATTAATTTATTTATTTACTTATTTTTGAGTTGGAGTCTCACTCTGTTGCCCAGACTGGAGTGCAGTGGCCGCTCCCG